CAGGAGCGGCTGTGTCAGGAGACCTGGCTGTTGGCAGCAGGCTGCAACAAGACCCGCTATGGCAAGAGACCGATGGGCAGGCCGAGTTACAGATGGGGCAGCTGAAACAGGGCTCCTGGGGTGAACAAACAGCCTGAGTTAGTGTTACGTAAAGCTGGAAGTAAGAACTGCAAGGCTGCTATGAGAGGTCCCTCTGGTCACCTCAGGATAGCACTATCCATAGGCAGAAGTATAAAAAGAAAAATACTTGTACCTCTGAAATACAGTGTACCTATAGGTGAACATTCTGGGGATCAGAAGATGATTAAAGAGGCAACAGTAAAAAAAATCTAATGTTTTGTGTTTATTCCAGCTCTGTAGTTCCTCTCAGACTACTGTCCTACTTGGTATTATTGGTGACTCATCAGGTTAGAAAAGCATAAGGACAAAAATGAGGCATAATTCTGTTTGTATCCAAAGTTTGTTATGCAGAAGTCTGTCAAACTTGAGTCTGACAAAGTTTGCAGTTAGCCAGTTCAGATGAGTTGATACATGAGAGGAGTGCCATGCAGTGGCTCCTGTTCTTGGTCTTGGGGATGCATTGTGCCCACTATGCATGAGGATGGTCAGACTTGGTTGTGGATGCAAGTTCTTTTCCATCTAAAATCCAATATTCCTCTCACGCAACATGTCACAGCCTTCCCGGTCAGTTGAGCTGTTGCTTTACTTGGAAAGTGACTTTGCCAATGGAGATGAGCTCTTTTGTGTTGTTCATGTAGTACCTATTACTGTAGGCACATTTACCTGTCTTTCCACTTTGTCTGCTTGAGACTGGTTCATGCTCTGACTTGGTGTTTGTTTCGCTACTTGATTAGAGAAAAGGGAATGGGCGCCTGTTCCAGACGTGGCCTAATGCCAGTAGCAAAGAGTGCCAATTCCTGCCCCTCTGAGGAAACCCGAAAGGACACTGCTATCTCCTGAGCAGAGGTTGTGGTGTCGACACACTAGCTGCATCCAGCTGCTCCCTTCCAATTACTGAGAATCCCAGGCACTTCTAATAAAAAATTTGTCCTGTGACAGGACATCACCTGATCCACTGATTTCCTATCTCTATGTGCTTGGTCAGATAAAAAAATAATAATAATTTCCCTCAAAAGGTGGTCCTCAGTTAAACATCCTACCTAACTACCATGTCCACACTGATTTTTATGCTGCTAGAACAACCATGGAATAAATGGGATCATCTTTCTCAGCACTCTAATCAATTTTGGTGATATTTTGGTGTTCAGGATTGGTTCTTTGTTTCCAAGTACTTCTCATTCTCCTAAAATGCTGCTCAGATTATTTGGACTGAGAAAGCCGTCTTGGAGACAGCACATGGAAAAGGCTTGTTGTGTGTGTGTGTGTGGAAACTGATAGGAGCATCCCAGTTGACAGTCAGATATCTAGGGCTGCATGTATGTCACAGTGTGTGGGACAAGAAAAACACATGTCCCAGGGTGCCTCTTATCAGCAGTGTGAATAAGGAAGGCATGGAGGGGCTGACACCTGGCACGAGGCTGCCTGAAAATTAGGGCCCTCTTGGGAAAGCGGTTCTAGGAAGTGAGTGGTCACTAACCTGAGAACACTCTCTAGGGAAGCGCGTGTGTGTGTGACCAAAAGCATCTCCAGTGGAAATGCCGGGAGAGTCAAAAGGTCTCGTAAGGGGGATATGCCATCCTAGGAGAGACTTCCCAGGGAGGCTGACAGAGGTGGGACTGCACATCACCACGTCAGTCTGGCTGCCCTTTCTGCTCTCTGCAGAGACCGTTGCCATTTTGTTGCTTATTCCATGTTCTATGGATTCCTCTCTGAGCTCTGAGGTGATTTAAAATGCATGTGAAGTGGAACGTAGAGTGACCTTCCCAAGTGTACCTGGCTTACTGATGAAACGGAGAAATGGACTACATTTCTTCCACTCATGGGGGCTCTGAGAGGGTTCAAAATCCATCCACCGTTTGGAGTACATGGAAAGGAGAAATGGAAATGGCAGTGTGTGCAGCTGAGTTTCTCTTTAATGTTTGCAAGTTTTCCACAGTGAACAGAGAGTCTGAGAGTTTGTTACAGAAAACAATCTGCCTGATTTTTGTATTCCAAGTAATTTGTCCGGTGTAATTACTGGAAGAGTTATCACCCAGTGAATCAAATCTGACGTGTGTTTATGAAGATAGTTCAACAGAAGATGTTGTTTTCTTGCATTCAGCCTCATTACAGTATTTGTAATGCTGCCCTTCACCTGAAGGCTTGTTTGTGTACACAGATCATACTTTCTTATGCAGCAGGTCTTCTGCTTGTGCATTCCTTGTGCAGCCCTGGGCAGAGAATGGTGTGCAGACTGAACTGTGGGCCGGAATGACAGATCATACCTTCTTATGCAGCAGGTCTTCTGCTCGTGCATTCCTTGCACAGCCCTGGGCAGAGAATGGTGTTGTGCAGACTGAACTGTGGGCCGGAATGATCCTTTGAGAAACCACAGTGTAGTCGGTTCCTTTCCGGAAATGAAAGCCTGGTTTTGCCAAAACTTAATACTGACTCGTTCAAGGTGTGCCTTTGTTTAAGCAGGACTGAGTGAAAAGGCTAAACTGGCTGCTTTCATTTCTCATGCTCTCCCTATAAGCAAAGCAGCAGCCAGCAGCGTGTCAGTTTTGCTACGCGGCAAACTTGAACCTATTAAATAATGTGCTTTTTTTTTTCCCCTTTACGTTTTTTCTCAACCAAAAAGCAAAAAGCGTTGCTGATAGGGGATATCATCCCCCTTCTAGGGTGCTTACCTCAGGGCCTCATTAAGTTTCACTACTGCCAAAAACAGTCTCTTGCTAATATCCCTGGCAGCTGGGTTTAGCGCTTTGTCCCTAGTCAGCAAAGCCCTTAATGTATATTTAAAGAGCTGTAAAATTATGTTTTGAGTGAGTAATATTTAATATTCCTAGGACAGTTTAGGAACCTGATCCAACAAAACTAGAATTTATGAGAGCTTTTTATTGATTTCAATGAGCTTTGAATAAGACCCTAGAGATACAGCCCAAATATTGTTACCTAAAACCTATGGCAGAAAAAATACAGTAGGCAGGGACTCATTGAATTGTCATGTAATGAATCTCATTTTTTGTAAGACTATTTAAACATATACATGCAGCACCATCCCCAAGATTGTTGGCTGAGACCTTTCAAGATTTTCTGTCAAAAACCATTTTCCTTGCCTTTCTGTTCCAGTGGTTCACTCAGGACCTCTGTTGACCAAGCACATGAGATTCCTGATAACGGTCTTAAAAGAGGCTGGCATACAAATAAAGATGTCCCTGAGAGAAGCTAAAAGCTCCGCTCTGATCTCATTACCCATCACAGATGCTGAAAGTGGCACCTTGTCTGCATATATAATCCCTCTGGTGTCAACTGAGTTGTAGAGTACATGGCTATTTAGTGTGTGTGAGCAAGGAGAGAAGTATCTAGCCCACGGAAAGCTAAAGCCCTGCTGAAACGGAGAAATGGGAGAGGAGGAGGAGGGGGCGGGGTGGAATTTTGCTAAATAGAAAAAGAAAAATGACCCAACAGGCATAATTATGAAATATTTTAGGCATTCTTACAGGAAATACAGTCTGTTGATCACTTTCTCTTCAAATGCAGTTGAGTGTCTTGCTCTGCAGTTCATCTGTAGCCTCCCTTCAGACTATGTTTTTTCTTTCTTTTGGGCATCTTTTTAGAATTGAGCTCAGGACTGCCCCTTCTTTATGATGAAACTTCTCATCTGAAGAAAATAGAAACGGAGAGTGTGAAGGTAGTTGGACCATGGCCAGCCCTGCACATCAGCATGAACAAGGTATAGCATATACATGTGTTTTTAAATATATATATGTCAGAGAGCATTTTTGTCACTTGATATGCAGAAGCTACTGCTTTTTCACTTCCAATTTAAATCAACATGCATTTGCAACTGTCTTGCTTGTTAATCACCTCATGCCATCTCCTCATGGGACTCGGGTTTCATTTTTAGATTTAGTATTTCCTTCAACTTTGCCTTTTAAAATTTCAGAGCTGCTGCAACAATGTTATGATGTAGTTTTGATTTAGCTGTGAAGAGTTAGTCATCTAGGCAGCCCAGAGCTGCAAGAAAATAACAACACAATAAATGATTAAGATATAAGTCACCTTGTTTTTCCACATGAGGAATCTGTGTTAACTCCATAGGCCCGCCCCCCATCACCCCCAGTATCTGGCTGGTGTTAGACGAGTGGGCTTTTTGGGAGGCTGCAACACAGCCCTGTCCCACTGCCTATGCCAGGAGCATGATAGACATCAGCTTGTTGGCTCCTTTTATGCATGAGAGCCCAAATCCAATGTGTCTGTGATAATGGAGTGCTTTGAGCTGTCTCTGGGTGGAGACTTAGACCTCTGATTCACAGCAAGCCCTCTGTGATCAGTCCTGAGTTGAAGACACTGAAATTGGTGAGAGCTTTTCAGGTAGCTTCAGGTGAGGGCTCTGGGCCCCCACTGAATGGGTATGCCTGTTAAAAAGGAGGTGTTTGGAGAGATTTTTGTCAGTTCAGGGGAGAACCCAATTAAATTTCTTAGCCTTGATTTCACAGACGGGCTTTTTTCATTGATGTTATTTCAAGACAGCATTGGGAAAATTAAGAGAGGTTGCAAAATGCATGGAAAGTGCAGCCACAAGAGGGCTGTGGAGACATGGAGTGACTGATGTTTGGAACAAGGGGCAACATATCAATATGGCATAACCTCTTTTTTTTTCTAGGCAAGACTATCCAGGAGACAGAAGTTGAAGCTAAAAATTGCCAGGTGCTTCCAATAAACAATAAAATCTTGATACATTTTGTTCAGATTTCTAGATAAGTAAAGTCAGTGTCATGTGGAAGCTATAATATTTCCATGTTGCTCTCTAAGCCTAAGATCCTTATCAAGCTATATTTTCCATAATGCACTGGAATTTTCCCCTCATAAAGAGAAGTTTTTTAAAGAATGGCATTTATGGTGTGCCATGGGGCATTGGTGGAGTTCAGCTACAGAAAATAACTCCCTGCTGGCGAATGCAGTTATGAGGGTCTGACATGCATGTCCACAAGGCAATGGTTTGAGACTTCTGAATCAACACATCAAGGTGAAATATTTTTAACTTTTGCCTAAATCTATTTGGTTATCAGTTGTGAGGTGCTGTCATTTTCTCTGGTTGATCTGAGTGGGTAAAAGAATTGTAAAGCAGACAAATAAGGATGAGATAAAAATAAACATATCCATGGGCACTTGTCCAGTTCCTTTGTTAGAAATACTCTATCAGGAAATAAGTGCACTTTTTTAAATAGGCAAAATTAATTAATCATTGATGTAGTTTGCCAAAGGAAAAATCTCCATTGATTGGATTCATCCAATGGATATCCACGCCTTGTGAGAGCAGTACTGTAGCTCAGTCTTAGTTATGGATACCGTGTGTCTTAGCATCAACTGCAAGCATTCGTTAGGTGCAAAATCCGAAGCGTGCTTTGAAGGACATTCCTGCACAGTTTACTGGCAGCTCAGTTGAACATAGATCAAGGGTTAAAATATGGAATCTAGATGACCTCTGTGTTGACCACAGCGTGAGAGTAAGTGGGTAAGGTAATCTGGGCTGCGCTGTGCAAAATCCAAGCAGGTGAGCTGAGTGGTGCCCTTGCAATCTCAAAATGAATGCATTTATATGTTTGTTTGTTTTAATGAAAGCTTGACATATTTGGAGTGTATATTCCACTGTACCATGCGTGTGGTCATAATAGAATCCCTGTGACTTCTGCTCAGCAAAGCCTGACTTCTCTCTCTCTCTTTTTTTTTTTTTTTCTCTTTTCTGAAAATCTATGAAGGGAAAACTCAGCTCTTCTATACCTAATGATTTTCTTTGGCTTTTCCTAACAACTCTATAATTTTATTCACAGTCAGATGGAGTGTTATGTAAGAACTAAGTAGCAGAACCCAGTACCACAACAAGTCAGTGTCTTTCAGTGACAGAACGACATTTTGGTTTTTTTTTTTTGTTTTTTTTTTTTTTGCGGGGAGAAAAGGGCCTGTCTAATGCAGCCTGTGTCTCCTCTGCTGAGCATTCCAACAAGTCAGAAATTTTGCTGATGAAAAAGTTTTCCACAGAGCACCAGGAGCTGCTAAGCTTCTGCTTCTGGCATCAGCAGAAGGCAAAGCTAGAGACACCGACTGTCTTAGGAAATCCCTTTTCTGGCAGCCCGAGAAGGTTTGGCTTTAGCAGATAGGCAGCAGTCCCACAAACAGCAGTTGCCATGTAGGAGAACAGAGAGGAGGGTAGTCCCTCAAAATTTAAGGTTTCCATACTGAGCCACTTGAAAATTATATGCCCTTTGGGAAGATGCCCGGTGTCACCAGCAGAAATCACATCGACAGTCAAGCCCTCAGTTACAGGCTGTGTTTTGTTGTGACCAATGAGTCATTTGGAGGTTCTTTCAGCCCCGTGCTCATGGTTTGCTCCCTAGGGCCTAGTGAAATATGTACACAGAGCCTGTAAAATGAAAGCAAACAAACCCCAGGTTGCTGAACTTTGAGCTGACCCTGCAGTTGCTCGAGCAGATGGTTCCTGCAATGAGAGGAACATCCTGATTCTGGGCTGAAATGCTGGCGAGCATTGCCAGGCTAGAGGAGACCCTACAGCCTTGGGCTTTGACAAGCGCTTTCCGCTAGGAGCGTGGCCTTCAGAGCTGCTCTGGTCTTGGTGGTTAACCAGCTCCCAGCAGCTGCTCGCAGCTACAGCCGAGCAGCGAGGGGGTGTTAATGAGCGCCCAGCGCCTGGCAAGACATGAAGCCAAATGAAATGACAGAAAACAATGGCCTTGATTTCTTTTCTGCTACGTGCTGTTTATTCTCTTTGCATTCCTCTAAAATATTTGCTTAAACAAAATCGGAGAAACAGTTATGAAGCCGCCTCTGTTGCTTTATTTCTGAGAGTACAGCAATCGTTTCCACATCTGTTGTGGAGTTTCGACTTTCATTTGCTCTCTTTCTGCTGCTAATTATTTTTTTTTTCCCAAGCAATGTGCTTTGGGGATGGAATTTGTCAGACTTAATAATCACCCCATAGCAGAATTAACAAGAAATTGAGTATATTAGATTCAGCAGTGAATTAATTTGATTGTCTGCTACAGCAAACGCCATCTCATGGGAATGATGAATGGATGTGTCCAGTCTCTTTTCTAGAATTGTTCGGTACAGTGGACATGTCTGTCCACCTAGGGAGTAATAAAAGAAAATTTCAATGTGTGTGTCGTTCCCTTTGGTGCTAGCAGACTTTTTACCCTCCAGGAGAGACAAGCTGAGGTGTTATAACTGTGCATATGTTTTTAATTTTCTTTCTTGCAAAAGCCTTTCCTCAGAAAAATGTTTTCCTATCCTTCCCTCCACCATTCCTGCAACCTTTATCTGTCATGCTGAAAATCATGCTTTATGGACAAAGGGGAAGCATGCCATATGTATGTGTATGTGTGTATAGATGTATGCATGTAGATACACATATATACATGCAATAGAAATATATTGAAAATATATAGAAATAATGCCAAGAATGTATTCTTAGTGTAACTGAAATCCTCAGAGTCTAATCTTTGTTAGTCCAGACCTAATTATTACAGCAAAAGAAAGGCCAGTAGTGCAGTGCAAGTTGTTACGCACACATACAGCGTCTACCTCTTTTTCTGGAATTGTGCTTATCCTCTTCCGGGGTCCAAGGTCTCGACCCCAAGTTTCCCAGTGCGGGGCTGCCGGGGCGCTGCAGTGCGGTGTCTGCCCCCAGAGGCCTGTGCCAGGAGACATACAGACTTGGTGGTTTCTTCTTTCTCATTCTAGGATCTGTTTGGAGACCTTTGCATAAGCTGGTTAACACACTCTTACACCTTGCTTTTTCTTCACTGTCCATTGGCTTCATGTTGCATCCCAATCTACTGTATATAGTGGCTTTTTACGTGTGTTAGGTACTATATCTTTGTTGTTGTACCACTAAGTTTGCACCACTAAGCCCGTTTTTGTTCAGCTCCAGGTGTGCATTTCCTTAGCTGACTGCTTTACAGCCGGGGGTCTGCAGTGGCAGCCTGTGCCCCTTCGCCATCGCGCGCTGCCTGCGCTCCTCGACCTCGCGTCCAGGGGCTTCCCTTCGGCTGCCGTTGCTCTACGTGGCAGCATCACGCTCCGCTCACAAATATCTCTTTCTGCATAGAATAACTGCTTGTTACTGCTCTGTTTATAAAACTACGGTTGTATCGTACGAAGATAAAACAAATTAGCTATAGACATCTGGTCAATTAGGAAAATTGCTGTTACAGCTAAACCAAGTAGAACAGACCTACCGGCAGGTCAGGAAAAGTTCAGTCAGAGCAAGCCGGCCAGGCCGCAGTCCCGAGGCCTTGCAAGCTCCGTACGAAGCCTGTGACCTGTTACTGGCCATGGCAATGCAGCATCACGGGGCTGAGCAGGTACTCTAGTGACTGCTCGTAAATGCTACAGCCTGCAAAAGAGCTGTGGAGCTGCCGGCCTGCCCCAAGTCAGGTGCAAACAACACTTTGCGTCTGAAACTTTTCTGTGCTTGCTTCCTTCAGCATCAGAGTATATACGTACCTGGGAAACATGGTCACCATAGTCCAGAAAGAGCAGCAGGAAGCGTGGCACTAACAGGGATTTGGGCGGGATCTAAGAGCATTCAGCCATAACCTTTTATAAAATAAATTAAGTACCAGGAACCAAAGAGGTTTCCTCCAAGGATATAAGCAAGACAGTCATTTCTCATGCATGTTAGCAGATACAGATGAGTCCTAAAAAACCAAAGATTTTAACCTCCCATAGTTAATGTGCATTTCAAAGTATGTATCTGTGTTGCCTTCATCAAAACATTGCCTTCTACTAGTTGTGATGACTAGCAATTGAGAATAAGCCTGTGTTCTTAAAGTAGCCGATCTGTTCTCCAGTCGTGTATATTAAAGACACTGTTTGGCTAGGAAAATACTCTCAATAAATCAGCAGAGGGAGAAGACTGCAGACCTTGCTTGTGGTATAGTTTTATGTGGAATGAAATGCAAGCCTTTCAAAACAGACAGAATGGAAATGTTAAGCACAAGAGAGTAGGACTGTTGTGTTTCAAGCATCTATTTTTATATTCTGTATATATGCGGTTAGCTTTGCCAACCAAAGCCGGTGTCATCATTATTAGATACTGTACAAGTCTGTCAGTGATTCTTGTTTCAGTGAATGTAGTTGAATTTAAAGTAAATGTTTGGGAAGGGATAAGCAAACATAAGACCTCAATTATAAAAGGAAAAAAAGCATCTAGTAGCATCTGTACATATACACACATATGCATATACACACACACATATATATATATATATATATGAGCTCGTTTAGCACATTTCTATCAAACCCTTTAAACACTTCTGGCAGTTTCCCAGTGCTTTCTCCCTGCAGAAAGATAAACTTCTTTACAACAGTGAAAGCAATGCAAACACGTTGCTATTCAGTTGCACCAACAGAACGGGAGATAGAAAATGGGAGTGTTATCAAGTATCTTAAGTTGATATTGACTTTTTTTTTCCTCATTTTTAAACTTTTTAGATTGAGTTCAGATTGCAATTTTAAGCAAGATTTTCTTTCAGAAGCAAGTTTGATTCCCACAGATTCATTTGAATCCGTTATCTCATTTTTTTTTTTCAGAATTATATAGCAAGAAATGATAAAATCAGAAGTTACATCAACAGGGTCATATATAGTCCTCTAATGACTTCCACATTTAATATTCTTAGTTTGTAAGTGACAATAAAGTTTTGACAACTGCCAACCTGATACAATATGTGAATACCGACCTGCTGTCTTTGTGCTTCATTTGTCATTGCAAGCAGTGGCGATTCTGGAAACGTAAGCTGCAGATATGTTTAGTATAAGGCAAAGTAAAGTAGACTACAGTTTTCATTTTTGCAGCTATAGTATATGCAGACTCCATAATACAGATAGTTTTAAGATTTTTGGTTTTCTTGTAATCTAGGGAAATGAACCATAGAATATACTGTATTTTTTTTTTCTGAATTTTTTTTTTCCTTTTGCCTTCCTATTGGTGACTCTATAAGTGAAGCTGGGGAATAAACAGGGTTATATGTGAAGGGTAGTGGCATTAAGGAACAACAGAAACTTCTACAGATGCTCAGAAATGCTGATAGTCTGGAATAAGGAGAGGCTACTTTGTTTTATATATTATGTTCCTCTGGGTCATGGAGGTTCATTTGCAGTCTGGATCTTCAGCGCCACTGCAAGTTTATGTGTAATAGCTGGAGCTAATTAGCTCTTTGAGATGAGAATTCAGGACGGGGCTTATCATCCCACCGCAGCTTTCTGTGCTGTTCATGTGTGGTCGCTCAGCAGATCTGGTGCTGCTGCTCCTGGAGCGGTGCAAGACGAGCAAGTAGCGCTTGCTTGGAGGCAGAAATTCTTATGGTCTGGCCCAAGCAAGGGCTAAAAGAGAACTGAAGGCCCAAGGAATGGCTTTCAAGAGGCTGTAACCTCCAGCGCAGCAGCATTTTTCCCTTTTCAGGTAGAGTGGGTAAGTGTTGGTGTCAGGATGCCTCAACTTCTGAGAGTCTCAGCCTGTGAGACCTCGGACTGTGCAACTGCCGCTGTGTGGCGTCATCTCTTGTAATCCTATAGAATCTGTTAGGAGGTCTAGGCCTTCTGGGGGCTCCCAAATACAGGGGAGTCCGAAGACGATTTTGAGAATGCTCTGGTCAATGCAAGGAAACTGGGCCGGGGAGGAAGAATGCAAAAAGTGAAAAATATCCATGCAGGTACTCGATACCAAGTGGATGGGGCTTAGGAAGTTCTGATGTTATGAAACGCGTTTATTGTTATAAACAAGAATTAGTTGTCTTCATTTAGCTAGTAAAATATAGTGACTTAATCTGGCTTGACTGAAATGATATTTAATTAGTATGCAGTAATAAAATAAAGTTAGGATTTTACATGGCCTTTAAAATGTCATTGCTTAGTGCATTGGTTATTCTGCTGTTAGAAATAAATACAATCAAAAGTTGCCAATAAGAGCAGTCCTCCTGAAGTGTGTAGTAGCTAATACAACTGTTGGTCAAGGAAAAATTGTCCTTTCTTAATTTTATCCTTTTCATTATTTCTGCTTCTTAGCTTCATGACTACCCCAGAAGAGCCAACTACAGCAAATGAATATTTCAATTTCTTTTTCAGATGCTTGCCAGGATTGCGGTTATATTCAAGACTGAATAGATGGCTACAGTTCCATACGCTGCTCCAGCCACAAGCTGTCACTTTTCATTTTATGTATTTTCCTTTTTTCCCTTAGGAGGAAAGCAAAGACAGTGAAATGTCTAGAAATATCTTCCATTAAAAACATAAATATAGCTTAGTAAATAGACATGTAAGAATTATTAGAGATTTCCCAGACCCAAAACTCATGGTGGGTAATCCTGTAGAAGGCAGTTGTTCAAAATCATACCTGGAAGCTATTGCATTTTGCATACAGAAGTCTGCTGGACCAACTTTGCTTACACATGAAAAATATCTTACCATCTCAACAGAGTTCTGCAGAGGCCTAGCTCTTTTCTCCCAGTGTCCACAAAATGATGTCCTCAGGCAATATAATTACACTCATGATTTCCCCCACTCGCAGAAAGTGTCCCCAGAAGAGGTGATGTTCCCTTTTGTCTGCGATTATTTTTGGATCTGAAAGAAGTGTCAGTAAGATTTTAGTTACTGTCAGCCAATGAAATGCCATAGGGGAGGGCAGAAGGAAGGATAAAGAAGGCAGATTTTCAATTAAGGCTAATCATATGCTAATTTCGGTGACTAAAATTGGCCTGTTTTGAGATAATTTGCCAGAGGTGAGCCTCAGGGGGACGCTGGGCTGCTGTGCTGGTGTTGTAGCTGCACGCCAGACTAGTGAGAAGCACGGGGCAGTCGGACTGATGGTGTTAGACGTTGGTGCTCTCCAGAGATACGTGGCCCTTCGCTCTTTGCAGCACTGAGAAAGGCACAGGAATGCATACTCTAGCCTGTTGTTCAGTTGTAATTCGGGTCTAATTTTGAGAACGAATAAGAAAGCTTGTGATGGCTGCTATGCTATTGCCCAGTTCTTGTTGAAAAATATATTGCACCCTGATTGCTTAAGAATCCGTCTTTACAAACCTGCTCTCATTCATACCCTTTTTCTTTATACATTAATATTACATGGGCCTTCTCTTTTCTCCTTTCCTTCTGTCTGTGTTGGAAGTTTATTCCTTCTGGCATTTCAGATGGTTCTTTTTTGTTCAAAACACAAAAATCTTTAGGTCGTGTTTGAACAGATCATTAAACTAGCTATCCTGAGCCCGCAGATTTCTCATCCAGAACACTGAGTAGTTAAGGGGGTTGTATCAAGTGGAAGCAGCAGCAACAGATACACTTAAACTTCATTTTTTTGTTTTCTTTTTCTTTGTGATGGAGATCTCAGCTTGGCTTGTAATTATGTGAGAATGCCTTCAAATCTCTCTGTCAGTGCCTAAATTTGCAAGTCTCCTTTACAGTCCTATGGTCACATAAAAAAGTGTTGTTGACTGTAGTTAAGCCTTGCAAACCTTTCCTGCCTTTGCCTGCTGGAGCATATTTTGAGAAAATGTTTTACTTCCTCAGTGTAATCTTAGGCTTGAGCAACCATTCCAGGGCCTGGCCCCCTTTCCGCCCCCCCGTGTTTCTAAGCACTGTGTATTGATTTCTTGTTTCTATTACATACACTTCCTTGAAAGCTTTTTTTTTTTTTTTTGGTCTCGATCATAGTACCATTCATTAAATCTTTTAAAAAAAATATTGTTAGATATATCTATCAGGCTTCACCCAGTGTTCAAGCTTCCATTGAAGCACCCATTGAAGCTTCACCCAGTGTTGTTGATCTGGATTGTTACAACTAAAAATTTGACCTAAACAGTTTAACTTATTCTTCTAATAGATGTCCTTGTGCTTGTCTTTTATATTAAATATAGGGTGAAGAGAAGAAAGTGTCTGAAAAGACTCTTCATGCCCCCGTGTCACCTTCCTCTGTACCTGATCATATGAAATGTAACATCCTTAAAGCTCAAGTAGAAGCTGCTTTCAGAGTGGGTACCCAGGTAATCTGTGTTTGATATTTCCCTTTTTTGTTATTACTAATTATACTAATTTTCCAAAATATCATTCCTAAGGAAGCACATTGTTTTACCTTGAGTACCCACATCAATGTAGCTTTTTTGACTGTACTGCAGTGTCTTCAGGTAACCCACTATGTCTGATATAAAGGAAATAAGATTTTTTTTTTTTGTGCCTGCCATGATTAGTAAGGATTAGTAAGAATGAGAGAGGATGAGAAAAAAGAAGGCAAATCTCCAGGTTCCAATTCTACCACTCTGCAGCTTTTTTATTTTGTAGCCCAGAAAGTAACCTCTATGACACTAGCCACCACTCATGGCAACATTGGCCAAGGATGTTTTAAAGATAAAGGTTGTAATGGGATTCATAGCCTTGTTTTAGGAAACTACTTTAGCTATGTCTGAATGTAAACTGTTAGTTTGCATATTGCTTTCCTATTTGTTTAGGTGCTTTTAACTGAATTTCAGGTTTCCATTTTCACTGATAGATCAGTATTTACAGTGGCTACGTCCTGTTTCCAAAACACCACAACAACTCTTATAATAATGTCATGCAACTGAAAGCTGTGGCTAGATGGCGTGACTGTAATAGGGTAGTTTTCCAATCAAAGGTAAATCTAAGTGAAACCTACAATGCATGATTCTTCTTAAGTATAATTGGTGGAAAAAGGGTAAGGCTATTGGTGGCAAAAGTAGAGACAAATAGAATGCTTTAGGAGAAAAAAGCAGAGGCAAAAAGTTTGATAGGACTCTTATGCCAAGCTCCTGTGGTATCCTTGTGTATACTCTTTTCTTTGAATACAGATTATTTTGGTGTTTACATTGTTTAGTTTCTTTTCACTTTAACATATTAGGTCAAGTTGCCCTCCAAAGAACTTTGTTAATAATCATGTTTGTGTATTTGTTGTTCCCTGGCAGATCTTTCGTCTGAGAACTAGATTACATCTGGTCTAGCTAGACCTAAGGAAATATCAAAATGTGGTTATTCTGATTGCTCTAGATTTCAAGAACAGAAACCATAAATTTGACAACATGTGGGGGAAGGAGGTTGGGTTTTTCTTTTACTTTTTGCTTGCAGCAGTTCTCTCACCTCTCTTTCCGAATTCTGTGTTGTATCAACTGTTTTCTATGCAGCATGTTTCTTGTTTGCTTGTCCTTGGGTTTGCCCTTTCTCTTTCCTGTGTGTCTCTTCTACAGGATGTCATGGTATATTTCTCACGTTTGTATTTGCCCCTGAATATGTTTAATGATCTAATTTGACTGGATAGTTAGAGACTTGGAAGCAGAGTGTGCTTCTGCATTCCTAGTGCAGATTTACTGTGTCAAGACAGGAGATGTGGTAAACATATGCATCCCTCGATTCACCTGCCCTTATTTTTCACCCTGAGGCGTTCTAAGGGAGAGCATCCTGAGTTACTTTTCCATCCATGCCATAATTGTATCCTTTTGCTGCTGCTGTGTTGTAAACGGGTTTCAAAACAAGCAGAGCATCCCTTGTTTGCCTTTCTACCTGCACTGTTTTGCCCGAGGCTTTAGCAGTCAGTTTGTGTTATGTGCGTGTTTATAGACTTGGTCCCAACAAGAAGAATCTTAAGGTTATATTGGGAAGGAGAGGAAGGAAGACTGTTGCAGGATTGTACATACTGTGGAAGAATCATTGCATAAATTTCAGTTTGAAACCCCTGAAGCTTTCAGTGCTAAACAAGTATGCTGTAAAAGCGACAGCAGAATGTTAGGATGTCACCTTAGTCTTGCAAATCCTTCAGTTCTTTCCTTCGGCACAAAACATGTTTGTACAATTGGGAAGAGTCTTCTGCACTTTAGCTCCTCTCCTACTGAGCGTGGATGATTTTCCTTCCCAGATGTACTGCAAAGTAGGTAGGCAGAAAGGAGGCAATGGTCAGCTGTGACAGTAAGAAGCTGTGGCTAGGTGAGCGCTCGGAAGGGTAAGCAAAAGATCTCTGGTAAAAGAATGAGTAGAAATGCTCCACTTACCGCCTCAAAACTGGCACAGAGAGTGCGCAGGAGCCGGTTCTGTCCTCTCATCCCTCATTTCTGAAAAGCTAGCGCAATACAGGTAGCTAGGCGGCCTGTGGCATCTCCCAACGTCTGTGGTCTAATCCATGCTTTAAGAAATACTATAGGCATCTTCACTCTATGGTTAGGTGTAAAAGCATGAGGAAAATATTGATGCACCATAGAATCAGATCCAAAATTAACAAACTGTTGCTTGAGATATTTGTAACAGCTCCCTCATCTAAGCAGAGGGAATATTTTCAATACCATATGCTACTAACATCAGGATGTGACAAGTTTATAATGGCACCTCCTGTATTTAGTAAGACCAGAAACTGTTCCTTATTAATTCTCAGAATGGAGTGCAAGTTTGCGAGTAGAGAGGGGAGCCAAACAAAAACACGGAGAAGAAATTTTCTGTTGTAGCAATTAGGCATCAGCAGGAGAAGGAGCCTTACGAAAGAATGGTGTTCATGGCCACGGACATCACAGGTAAGAAATGTGAGACATGCAGCTGTGGGGCTCTTTGCCATGGCTTGCGCTGGGCGTATCTGTATCTGCCCTGTGGTATCTGTAGTTGTAAACCAGCAGCGTTTCACAACAGCGCCAACAGGGATCTGCTACCTTCTAGCAGACAGGCTGCATATCACAGTTCCCACATAATTAAGCACCAGGGGAGGGCCTGGTGCTGCGTATCAACTGACATCTTTCCTCTTATTTTCTTTAATATTTTTTATTCCTTATCAGAATTGCCATTTGAGAGGGAGCAGCATAAAGCAGTGATGAAGAGCAGCCAGAACACAGAAGACCTGCTCTCCTCCGTGTTTAGACCCCCTCGACAGGCAGTGCACGTCAGTGCCAATAGACTGGGGTGGATCTGAGGACTCAGGATCACAGAGAGGCCCTTTTGCCCAGCAGTTTATGGCCCAGCTGATGGGCGAAAAGATATGAGCAAGTTTCTGTCCCTGTTTATATCCTGTGGCTCTGAGCACACTCTAATGTCTTTAGAATTAAGTACTGGCAGCTGAGCAACTGTACAACTATCTCAGCAGGGCTTTTTCTCTTGGCCAGGAGGGTGCAGTTGTGTTCTGGTGGTTTGTCTGTCTCCTAGTTGTGTTCTTCATCTGTCATCCAGGCTTTCCGAATCCTTGGACTGATCCGCCAAGTCTACCAAGTTTCAGTAGGAAAGGAAGAGACCTGTCTCTCAAAGATTTCTACCACAGCAAATTTTTGATGCTTGAATTGTGTGTTTTGTTTTGTTTTGCTTTGTTTTTAATTTTTGCATCTTTCTCTGGAAAATGCCTAGTTCATTCTTAAGATACATTTTTGCAAAGCAGTTAGTGGAAGTCAAACATAAAGATGATATTACCTCTTTCCCCACTGAGCTTTTGACCAAGTTTGTTGCACTGTGAGTTGTTTGTCAGAGAGCAAAAATATGAGGGAAGAAAGATATTTGGAGGAGTGGGGAATTATTTGCAGAGTGCATGCAAAATCCCGTTCCCTTTTGCTTTGCAAGAGATGGGTTCCCTGCTTACTACTCCAGGCAGCCTCTCCGATCTCAGAAGCTGAGAAGCTTCAAGCTTCCCTTCTGGCACTTGCTCAGGGTTGCTTTTTGTTTGTTTTTATTTTTTTTTTCTCTCCTGAATTTCCTCTAGTGTTTTCATCTCCTCATCCTCAGCTGTACCAGACAATGCCCTACTCTCTGCGTCTGCTTTATCAACCCCAAGGGAAACTCCTGGCTGACAAGGGGTGTCTTCTACTTAGCCAGGTTTCTGTCCCGGGACAATTGATTCTGCTGCCTTCCCTCTCACCAAACAAAGGGGCATTTACACTGAACAAAGGGACAGTCACTGCTGCAGCCCCTTTCACACACTGATGTTCTTCCCAAGCTTATACACATGTAAATTTTTAGGGCAGCACTGATAGCCGCCTCTCTTTTTCCTCCCTGTCCTAAAAACAGGTGATGGTGAGGATGTAGTTTTGCTTTAAAGTTTTGCAGGTATGCAAACCAGGATTCATATTTCCTGCAGGTAGCTGCTGGTGTCAGGAGCTGCCTCAAGCAAAGGACTGGGCTGCATGACAGAAAGTGTCTCAGGATGCGCATAGCTTCAGTGTCATCCTCCAGCCTGCATTTACCTTGTAGATGCAAGCAGTGCCCCCAGGTGTGAATGAGATCTGGGATCTATGCATTATTTCTGGTAGAAAAGGTGAACAAGACAGATGATTCCCAGTGCTACTCCTTCCTAGACGCATTTCTGATGTTTCTTTGCCATTTTTGTTGTGCCGTCTCTTTAAGGAGGGATTGGACTGCAAGGACTCGTCAGCTTCAAAGTTTGTGTGAATTTTTCACATATTTCTAGAAAAAATACACTGTCTTTATATGAGGTGCGTCTTTGGAGCTTTACTCACTTAAGGGGATCTGGATTCAAACCCTAATTAGATCATAAATTAAAACAGAGTGGGTGGAGGGAAGGCATTTGAGCATTGATAATCTCACGCTGTCTTCTAATAGCATTTAAATCCATCTCGATTCCTTGGGGAGTTCGTAGCTTTCACTAGATGATGGCTTAGGTACCTTGAATTATCAGCATTGCTGACATTTTAACCCGTCTCCTTTGAGAATTATATTTGGCTCCCTCTCCTTCTTTCCTCCCTCCCCTTGCCCATCCTTACTGATGGCATAGAGTGACCGCACACCCTGCCTGCCTCAGCGCGGAGGGCACAAGCAGGGAGCGCGGCAGGTCCTGGCCGAGGTGCGCAGGCCGTGGGGGAGGCTGGCACAGCTCCCGGGTGCCTGTTGCCTTGCTAAAGCTGTTGCTTTTAGTCATGTGCTTAGATGAGCAATGGCCTCCCTGGCGAATGCGAGGCGAAGGAAGATGCGGCGGTCGTTAGGGTGCTCTGGCCGTGCACCACAGCGAGCGAGACGTCGCGTCGCTTCTCCTTGTTCCTAACGATGGAGCTTCAAAGTGGCTCTGCATCAGATTCTGTGTGTTTGCTCTCTAGTGGCAAACAGCTTGGCTCAGCTTGGAAAGGGAGACTGCGGGAAATAAAGGGTGTCGGGGGTATATAGAACCACGAGATCTGGAATGTGTGTGGGCCAGGATGATCAATAGATGATACACGGCAGCTCCTTATGAGTGTGTCAGCAATGATACCTCAAAGACAGGGAAGGAGCTGAGGAAATGAGATGACAGCTTTGCTGACATGAAGAAGGTGATGGAGGATTTAGATAAACAGAAAGTGGGAAAAGGGAAATCTTTCATTTATTCCTTGGGACACGAGAGGCAGATTTGCCAGTGGTGTCACAAGACTGTGACAGCTCGTTGCTGATGTGTCAGATGTGTCTCCTAGCTGGCATGTGTGGAACTGCTAGTGTGCCATAACACACGTGTTGCTAATGACAGTGATGTCTAGCAGTTCTGTCATAGTCCAGGAGCACCACTGTGCTAGTCCCTGTTCAGGAGCAGAAAAATAGAGAAGGGACCCAGCCATTATGCCTTTCTGCCTGAAAGGGTGCATTGGGTGTATTCAATTGCTAGTGTAGGCTTATCTCGGCAGGGTGTTTTTCCCAGTGCTATGTTGCTTAGCCTATATTATCTACTGAGATCAGCAAGCAATCACATGACTGAAGAATGACAGAAATGTTCATGAACTGCTGAAAAATCTGGTATGCTGTAGGCCTCCCTAGCAGCATTACAGAGCAAGGAAGAGCTGATAAAGGGTGTTCCCCGGATTAGTGCAATGAAAGCCATTGAAAACCACCAAATGTGAAAGCTCTGTTGCTTCTCCCTCCTTTCTGTAATTGGAAACTTTGCAAAATAGTTGAAATAAGAGAGACTGTGAGAGACTTTGTGCCCCTTGTCTTCCTTTAGACAGGAACCTGACCCTTCACTTCAGTGATCAGATTCTTCATGAATCCTGATTCAGGATATTCTTACTGTGGATCACGTAGGATGAGAGCAGCGTTGATGCCTCTTGCGATGAAGGAGAGGAGCAGAGAGCAATAGTTCTTGGAGATGCTCTCTTGAGATTTGGAGAGCGTAGCTTGTGTTGCACAGTGGTTTGTCAGAGGCTCACTAGCCAGAAAACATTCCCACCTCTACTGCAAAGGTCAGCAGAGGAAGAGAAGGGGAGAGGGAGAGGGAGAGAGGGGGAGAGAGAGAAAGAAGGAAGGGTAGGAAGGAAGGAAGGAACTACTTGTTCCCTGGTCAGCAGTACTAATCCATAGACGCTGGAGTATTTCCTGTACTCTAAAGCATGAGTAGTAATGGAGAAGAGTAAAACAAATAAAAGTTCTTCAGGATGCTGATCACGCTGTTGAGGAACACAGCCCTTTTTCAGCAGCTGGCTTAGCCTTTTAAAGCAGAGAATGCGAAAGAGGGTGATAATAGCCACAGCACCAAGAAGAAACCAAGGGTCAGTTATTAGGGACTGATTCACTGAAGCCCTCTCAACTAGCTAATGAGGTCCTTGGCCTGTGGTGTTTAAGTAGGTGGAATTTTAGTCATTTCATTTACTATTGCAATTTCTGACATCCTTCCTCAAGCACCGTGTTCTGTTTCTTATTGTTGTGTTCAAGAGCATCTTAAAATTCAACTCGGTTAATTTGATCAAGATTGGAATAAAGTAAAACTGATGGTTTTAAAAAATAGCCAATCTGACAAATAATAAGCAGCTAGCTTGTCAGGCTTAACAATAAAATGTTGTTAAGACATCAGTGTGAGAAGAGACTGTGTGTTAAGTTTCTGACAGCTGGATTCATGTTTTCAGCTTCCAGAAAACCAACAGATTTATAAAAAGCATCGTAGTCTTTGTAGAACAAAGAAATATTACTTCAGTACTCATCTGTGCCAACAAAGAATGATTTCAATGCTTTCTCTCAATGCATTAAAAACACTCTCTCTTTCCTTTCAAGAAAGTACTAAATTGTGAATAAATATTAGGCTAGACAGAGCTACTATAAGGCCAGAAAAAAAAAATGTTTTCTAGAGCTAAGCTAAATTGCTTAAAATGATAAATCAAATGAAAATTGTACTCCCAGTCCTGAAATTATTCATGATATAATGCACATGGTATAGTGTACACTGTAAAGCTTGGTTGTAAAACTTTTGGTGGCTGAGTTGCAATGTTGGTGGTTGTGCCTCCCTTCTATCTGATTCTTTAGAGTTTAGGGCATTTGCCCTGGACTTAAGAAACCTCTGCCTGAGGATGTTTAAATCCAGCTATATAAGAATGCCCCTGTATTGGAGTGGAGCCTCCCCAGTATCCACTGCTGGTCCTGTTCTCTGGGTTTAAAATAAAAAAAAAGCCTTCAGAAGGAGAGGGACAAGCTGACAAGCCTGCCCGCGAGGCCAAGAGTCCCCACTGCCTTGATAAAGGTTTCAGGCTCAATAGACAGGGTGGGACAGCCTCAGCAGGACGGATTAAGGAGGGTCTTACCTCAAAATATGCCCTAGCTTATCACCTTGAGTGCTGGTATGAGTTGGAGTAGGCCCACCTTTGAATCCACTTTCTTCTAGATTCCAGGTGGTCCCAGTTTAGTTATCCCTGCTGACCCAGGAAGTAGTGATGGGGCTTCTGTTTCCTCTGGAACAAGAGGGACATGTAGTTCATCATTAAAGTATAGGAGAAATGGAGTTCTTGATTTCCTTTCCTTTTCTTATGAGTAGTCTCAAACAAAATGCATCCTTGTGCGTTGAATGGAAGGTCTCCTGTGAAATCTACACTGGCTTTACATGCCTGTTTGAAGATGATGGGACTGACACACATTTAATTCGATTTGATCTGAACCATTAAATTATCATGG